GCCGGGGACCGGTAACGGGATTGCAACCCTCGGCGTCACCCCCGCGCCTCGCTCAGCCAGTGAGCGGGAACCGGTCTGTATGTGGGATCCGAACCCTCGGCGGGAGCGCCGCCACACTTCCCAAGCGGCGCACTTATCCAGTGTGCCACCGGGCCGGCCCTGAATTTTCTTTTTTCTTTTTTTTTTTTTTTTTTTGTTTTTTTTTCTTTTCCGTGTCCGGCAACGGATCGCAACCCTCAGTGTTGCCCCCATACCGGGCCGGGGACCGGTAACGGGATTGCAACCCTCGGCGTCACCCCCGCGCCTCGCTCAGCCAGTGAGCGGGAACCGGTCTGTATGTGGGATCCGAACCCTCGGCGGGAGCGCCGCCACACTTCCCAAGCGGCGCACTTATCCAGTGTGCCACCGGGCCGGCCCTGAATTTTCTTTTTATCTAGAAAAGCAAGCAGGTATGGCTCAACTCCCCAGAAAGGTATCTTTTTTTCTGCCCTTGGTTCACATTTGAGTGAACTTATCAGCATGTTTTACTAAATCCAGACTGGTTCCAAGCATACTGTCAGACAGTGGCATTTTTCCAGTGTTTGTCTTTATCCTGGCTTGGAAGACAGTTTTTTAATAGCCTACCCTGTCATTTCTGTCCTATAACATCCCTTGCTGTTAGGATTTTGGCATCTCCTTGGGTTGCTCATGCCAAAAATGGGAATGGTTTCACAGTGTGGAAAAATACCCATTAAAATATTAAGACCACTGGAACCTTGTTTCTACTTGGGCTGCTTGTAGATTTCAGACATCCTGGGAAATTTACCTCCCCTGTAATTAATTGTCATTGGTATCACTTCATAATAAAATAATTGAGTATTTCTCTTAAACCATGGTATAACACACCAGACTATTAAATGGATTCAATAGTGGGTGCCATTTATTGCACACTGAGAGATGACAGAGTCATCTGAAGTATCTTACTTAATGTATCCTTCCTAGGATGAGAACCATTTTTCATACAACTTCTCCAAAGGTAGCAACTCAGCATAGCATTCTCTGTGTAGTGGGCCAGATGCATACCACTACTAAAAGGGCACAACAAACTGTGCCCAGGTAGATGCAATGAATAAGTGCAAGATGATGGCTATTAACATTCTCCTCTCACAGCCCCATGGCTGGACTAGCAATTTGCTCTGAAAATTTGTTCCTGTGTCTGTTTAATTGGCTCTCGATCACTTGCCTACACATCTAGAATTCCCATTTATTCATTGAAAATTAGCATTTCTAGAGCTGGCCCGTGGCTCACTTGGGAGAGTGTGGTGCTGATAACACCAAGGCCACAGCTTCGGATCCCTATATAGGGATAGCCGGTTAGCTCACTTGGGAGAGCATGGTGCTGACAACACCAAGTTAAGGGTTAAGATCCCCTTACCAGACATCTTTTTTTAAAAAAAGAAAAAAAAGAAAATTACCATTTCTTATTTCTTTGTTTTGCAAGTTCAGTTTTTCAGAGATGGCTAAAATGGTCCAATCTTTGTAGCAATGGGCAATTCTGAGCTGCAGATTAGACTACAAGTGGCTTGGGTACATGGTGTCTTTAAACAAGCAAAGAGGAAAACTTTGAGCTCTATTCAGACTTGCTGAAGTGTTGTAAATTTATGATGAAAGCTACTGACTATATTACACATGATTAACTCTGAAGCCCACATTAAGATCATCTTTTCAGCAGTTGCTCTTCTAACTGAACACTGTTTCAAAGCTGGCATTTCAGGCCGGCCCGTGGCTCACTCGGGAGAGTGCGGTGCTGATAACACCAAGGCCACGGGTTCGGATCCCATATAGGGATGGCCGGTTAGCTCACTGGGTGAGCGTGGTGCTGACAACACAAAGTCAAGGGTTAAGATCCCCTTACTAGTCATCTTTAAAACAAACAAAAAAAAAAAGCTGGCATTTCAGTAATTAACCAGTTCACAATTGCTGATGATCCTGGTAGAGGGCAGTGGTGAAAGGGAGAGGATGTCGTTAGCTTCTCTACCCTACCTTTTTTCAGTGCCCTGTTGCAATGTGGAGTGAGGCATCATGAAAGAAAGATGGCCTGACCTCCATTGCAATATTGTGCATCACATAATACTGGGGTGGGTGGCAATGGCTAAAATGATGGCCTTTGGTAAATAAAGTTATCTACCAAACAGTAGCTACCAATTATGTCAACTGTGCCCATAATGGATCCAGTTAATTTCTTTTACTGCCTATTGATTTTTATTTGGTTGGTAGATAATAGCTGAAGGACTCTGGATTTCTTTTGGGAAGAATATGAGTCTCTTTCAATCCTTCTCCTTAAGAGAATTTATCGATAGTTTTTGCACTGACCTTTAAAAGCATCTTGACTTGAGTGTTTTGAATCTTGGTTTTTTGTTTGTTTGTTTGTTGGTTTGTTTTGTCTTTTTCGTGACTGGTAAGGGGATCGCAACCCTTGGTGTGGTGTCGCCCACACTGCGCTCAGCCAGTGAGTGCACCGGCCATTCCTATATAGGATCCGAACCCGCGGCGGGAGCGTCTCCCGAGTGCGCCACGGGCTCGGCCCTGAATCTTGGTTTTAAGCCACGTGTATCTGTAACAATTTTCTACGCAGGCTAGTTACCTCTCAGCTTATAAAGTACAGGCTGATAAATCTAAATTATAGTATAATAGAGTGTCACTATGCAACGAAACTTTTAGGGAATCAAATGATATCTGCTATTAAAGACAAAATTAATATTATTTTGAATCCTTGGTTCTAATTCCATGTCTGCTAGCAAAGACTTAGAATTTCTTCCTCTGATTTGTACATGGTTTTTATTAAATTATTTATTTTGAGTCTTCGTGTATGTTAGAATAAAAAAGATGTACATATTCTGAGAAAAATGGAGACTCAAAGCTAGGATAACTAATTCTCTAACTTGTACACAAGAGGTAATTTATTATAATACGGTATTTGATTTGATTTCAGATGCTTGTGCACAAGTTTGCCAGAAAACACCACATCACTTTAACTAATGTAATTACTGAAGAGACTACTCATGTCATTATGAAAACAGGTATATGAAGAACCTTTTCATAATATGTTGTATCTGTTGCATAAAACCACATGAAGAAATAGGAATATTTCTTAAGTATAGCATGGACGATAGTCTTCCAACAGTCAATCAATTATTACTTTATGAAACATAAACAATAGTTTTGCTGCTTCTTGACCCCCTTTTGTTTTGGGTTAAGATTTGGAGGTTGATGAGCCAGAACAATGAACCACTTCTTCCTGTCTACCTGCCTGGACTACACTGGGTGAAAACCTTTCTGGTGAGGCAGAGCTCAAGTTCTGGAAGAACAAGGAGGCAAAGGGGAATGGGGCAGAAGCAAATTTCACTGAAAATCTGGAGACCCTAGCTCCATGTAACACCTAGTTTGAATGTGGTTGAGAGCTTTTCAGGAAACAAGTTTGATAACTCTCAGAAAGCCCTTACATACTAGGGTACTTCAAAAAGTTTGTGGAAAAATAGAATTAAAGGATAATATGAATCTTTCCATGAAGTTTTTGAAGTACCCTCCTATGAAGAAGGAAGAAATGAAGGGGACAGTTTATTTGTCCTACACTTTCCCCTTTAAATCTTAATTATGACTTGTGTATAAAGGAGACATCTGGGAGTTTTTAATTGACTGTAAGCTAAATCTGAGTAAATATTTCAGGGCTGCTAAAAAAGTTTATTTGAAATTGGGCCTTATTAATACGAGCCTAATGTCTGGAGCAAGTGAAGTAAAGATCTGGACCCCCACTGTATTCTCTACTTGAATGACTGCCTAGAAGATGATGTTGTTGTTTTTTTTTAAGATGGTCACTGACAAACTATAGAGTGTTTATCCAGAAGTAGATGGTGAAGATGGGGAAAAGGAACTCAAAATAATGTCATTTGAAGAAGAGATGAAGGAATGAGAAGCTTTAGGGAATAAGGCAACTGTCTTCAAATAGCAGAGTAATTGTTATCTGGAAGAGGAGTCAGATTCACTCATGGGGTTCCAGAAGGCAGACAAAAACCAGTGCATGGAGGACACAGGAGATGCAGATTGTGGCTGAACTCTTAAGACCTTTCTAACAAAATTATTTCTCTGGATATATTATGATCCACTCCAGGATGTTTCTGTTCACAGAGCTGCAGGTGCTTGAGCAGAGGGTCCAAACCCCTTGGACATGTTGCTTTAGGATGTCTAAGATCCTAGTTTTCTACTGTAGGAAAATTGTACCACAGGATCAGAGGGTAGTGCTCACTGGTACCAGGTGCCAGAATAAGGGTACCACAAGCTAATTATTGTAGAGACAAGTGTTATTAAACTTTAATATATCTTAAGCTATAGGTTTGGATCAAAGCTGCTGAAAGGTGAAAAGAAGACTTTAAAATGCAAACTAAATCTAAAGTAGTTGAGTCTTTAAACTCAAAGGCAATATAACATTAGCTACTTTTATACTAAAAATGAGCTAAAATTTCTAAGTTTAAAGCATAATAATTAAATGAGCTTTTGCAGCAGTTAAAAAGCTTCAAAACCTATGAGGAATTATGTGAGGGAGAGTGGCTGCTGCTACTATTTGCAAATAGCCTGCTGAGTTTAGGATTTAATTAAATACATTTCTTCTTTAAAAGTAAATGGTCTTCCCTCAGTTTGTTTAGTTCTTCAGAAGGGTCTTTGAAACACTGGGAAATAAACAGAAGTGATTCTTCAACTACTGCTTTCTGAAATACTTATGTAAGAAAGAGAAAAGCTATGAAAATACTCTACTTTCCTATCTTTCTCAGGGGAATATTAAGGGATAGGATTCCCCAAGTAGTAGTTCTGGGGGTGAAAATTTGTCATTTACATTGACATTTCAGATTTAGGATTTGAAGATACTGTTTTCTTCTCCTTTCACGTGTTACCATCTAGTAAACTAGATCTTCTCCATCCACATTAATGTTACTGACATGAGTAATTCCTTGAACACAACAATGGAGATCTTTAGCTAGCCTTGGCATCTAGAAGATGGGGCAGACATTTCTTCTGGTCCATACGTGCTGGTTATAATTAGTGGTGCTTCCAGCCTCTGATTCTCTCATCAGGGGTGTTGGAATCATCAATCTAGATTGATGTTGAGAGCATGAGGAGCTGGGGCTCTTTAGCCTGTTGGGGCAGTTCTTCCTGATTTTGTTTTTAATTTATAATCCTTTGGATGTTTTTCATTCTGCAGATGCTGAGTTTGTGTGTGAACGGACACTGAAATATTTTCTGGGAATTGCAGGAGGGAAATGGGTAGTTAGCTATTTCTGTAAGTACAATACAGTTTTTCCACTCCTCCCTTTAACACCTCAGAATTGCATTTTACAACTAACATTTTAACATCTAAGGTTTTTGTTGATGCTGAGTCTGAATTACCAAAAGGTCTTTAACGGTAACACAAAACTAGCTTTATGTTTAATGCATATTGCTTTATTCAGATAAGCTGGTGGTATTGGGAAAATGGATTTCTTTTATAACTAGTAGGACCATATGAACTAGGGATTTATTTAATAGTGGGCAGAAATCCATGTGCAGCAGGCATTTTTATAATGTTTAAATTAAGCATCAACTGTATGTCCAGAAGTAAATCTCTGCAACGAGCCTTATTAAAGAGCTGTTCCTTTAGAGGGAGAGGACCTCGCCTCTGTCATTCTTCCTGTGCTCTTTTGTGAATTGCTAAACTCGCTACCACCATAATAAGAATATGTTCTTCTGTTCCATGTGACCTGTCTTTTCTGGGTTCTCTTTAGGGGTGACCCAATCTATTAAAGAAAGAAAGATGCTGGATGAGGTAGGTGCTTTATGTTACAAGTGCCATTGAATCACATAGTCATGAAAAATTTATCTGCTTTCTTCCATCAATGCACCACTTTCCTAAAATTATCCTTGGCAATAGGGATCATCAAGAGTTATGCAATATGTTTTTTTTTTTAATTGGATATGTTTTTTTTTTAAAAAGAGTTATGCAGATTTATAGCCATACCATCCTGAATGTGCCTGATGTTATCTGATCTCTGAAGCTAAGCAGGGTTGGGTCCAGTTAGTACTTGGGAGACCGCCTGGGAATACTGGGTGCTATGGGCTTTTTAAGAAAAAAAAATGAGTTATTCAGAGCAAACCAAGAAATTCTGTGTTCTCCCTTGTTGTAGGTTTCAAAAGAACCAGTCCTTTCCTTGGAGGGAAGGGAAAGGAATTTATAAAGCAGAAAGAAAAGATTCACAGGGACCAAAAAACAGGCCCAACTGAATCTATATGTGTACACATTTGTAGAAAACTGACTGTTCAACATTGTTGAAGAAAAATCCTGTGTATTAATATGCAAATTTATCTGTTTAGAAATCAGATTCCTTCAAAGGGATGTTGTTCTATATGATACTGAGAACAGTGAGAAGTAAATAAGATGGAGTATAGGAAGAGGAATAATTTTAGAACACTCATCTACTAGCCGATGATGACAGCAGATCAGGCAAAATAAAATTAGCAAAAACAGTTTTAAACTATTATGCATTGTTGGAAATATTCATAATTAACTAAAGGACATTTTTGTGGGCTTTAACTTTCATTCAGTGACTGTTTATTGGGAGTCTACTATGTGCCAAGCACTAGGCATACAACAGTAAACATGAATGACCGAGTCCCAGCTCTGGTAGGATTCATGTTCTAGTGAGGGGAGATACACAATAGGTAAAGATGAGTTAAGACACCAGTAATGCCATGAAGAAGTATGCAGAACACTGGATTAGTAATTGGCTGGGAATAGAGGTTGACTACTTTTGTTAAGGAGTCCAGGGAAGGCCTTTCTGAAAAGATTGAGCTGAGACCTAAATGACAGGAAAGGATTGTCCTTCAAAAAAGTAGGGAATGGGTATTATAGACAGAGGAACAGCAAGCATAAAGGTCTTGAAGTAGGGATGAACTTGTTTTATTAAGGGAAAATAGGCCAGTGTAGCTGGAGAGTAGTAATTAGTGAATAATGTGTAGAGGGAAGAGGTTAGGCAAGAGCTGGGAGGTCATAGACAAGGGCCATATCAGGTAGGAGTTGATGCAAACCATGATAAGGAATTCTGATTTTATTCTTAGGGTAATTGGAGACATGGAGATGGTAAGAAGAGGTTGGTTTGGGATGTATTTGGAGATAGGACTTGCTAATGGATTAAATTTGGAGGATGAGGTAGAGAGGAATCAAGCTGGCCTGTTAGCTCAGTTGGTTAGAGTGCATTGTTTTAACACAAAGGTCAAGAATTTGGATTCCCATACCAGTCAGCTGCCAAAAAACAGAAAGTATAAAACAAAAACTGTCTAAAGAGAGGAATCCAGGGGGTGACTCTTGGGGTTTTGGCATGAAAAAAAGGTGGATGTTAGTAATATGAAATCAGATAAAGAAGAAATGGGGGAGAAGCATTTGGGGGGCAGGGCAGGAGGTAGGAGTGGAATCAGGAAGTATTTTAGATGTGTGAATTTTGAGATTTATACTAGACATCTGTATACAGAGGTTAACTAGGCAGTTAGACACATTGTATGAAGCTCGAAGCAATCAGAACTGTAAATATGTGAGTCAACTTCAAACAAGTGGTAAATTTATCGCTAGACTCTTCTTGAAGTGACTAGGAAATGGTAAGTATTCTTCCTCCTAGTAACAGCCTGTGGTTACATTCTTGCCTTTATTTTTCTTTATAATACTAGGCAATACACGCAATCTTCCATGCAATCTAAGTTTCAGTCAGAATTGTTTCTAAACATTCTTCCCCAAATTTCTCCCAAAAACTCTAACCTCCCCAATTCCATTATATATGCTCTCATCCTTGACTAGTCAGAATAGTGATTATGAGGAACTTCTAACTTTTTTAGTGTATTAAATGTATATTTTATCATTTTGGCTTCGTTAAATCTCAAGGGAAATCTGAAAAGCCCTTATTCCTTTAGATGGTAATATACAGTTGATTTTAAGAGATCAGGAATTCTCCAGTTATCTTGGTAACAGCACAGTATTAGCAGTTTAATCCAAATGCTAAGTGAATGTTATAAGAGGGGATAGATGTTAAAACTTAAAATGCATTAAGTCCCAGTGAGGTGAAAATCCAATTGTTAATTTCTTTCTTTCTTTCTTTTTTCTTTTTTTTTTTTTTTTTTTTCCTTTTTGAGATTCCATTATATATGCTCTCATCCTTGACTAGTCAGAATAGTGATTATGAGGAACTTCTAACTTTTTTAGTGTATTAAATGTATATTTTATCATTTTGGCTTCGTTAAATCTCAAGGGAAATCTGAAAAGCCCTTATTCCTTTAGATGGTAATATACAGTTGATTTTAAGAGATCAGGAATTCTCCAGTTATCTTGGTAACAGCACAGTATTAGCAGTTTAATCCAAATGCTAAGTGAATGTTATAAGAGGGGATAGATGTTAAAACTTAAAATGCATTAAGTCCCAGTGAGGTGAAAATCCAATTGTTAATTTCTTTCTTTCTTTCTTTTTTCTTTTTTTTTTTTTTTTTTTGTCCTTTTTGAGACCAGCCGCACCGCGCTCAGCCAGTGAGCGCTGTGAGCGCACCGGTCATCCCTATATAGGATCTGAACCTGCGACGGGAGCGCTGCTGCGCTCCCAGCACCGCACTCTCCCGAGTGCACCACGGGCTCGGCCCCAATTGTTAATTTCTTCAGACAGATTTGCTTCAATGGATTGATTTCAGCAGCTGAGGTTCTGGTCATTTCACCTAATCCACCAAAAGGAATGATTGTGTTTATTTGTTTGTTTGTTTGTTTGTTTTTGTTTGTCAAAACTGCCTGGAAATTCTGAATGCCTATGCGTCTGCTTCACTTCCATTGATGGAGGTTTCTCTTTCTCTGATCCCTATGGTTTGGGTTTGGTGTTTTCCAGCATGATTTTGAAGTCAGAGGGGATGTGGTCAATGGGAGAAACCACCAAGGTCCAAAGCGAGCAAGAGAGTCCAAGGACAGAAAGGTAAAGCCCTCCTTCCCCATGTTGACAAAAACCCCATCCTACCACTCTGCATTTCAACCCCTTCCTGGAGATGGTCACCATTCTGTGAGGCTCATTACATAAATACTGTGCTAGAGCACTAGCTAGGCACTTTCACAGAACTTCTTTTTTAGTTCTCCCAGCCCAGCAAGGTAAATAAGTGTTATCTCTATTTTATGAATGAGGGAACTCAGAGGTTTAGAAAGGCTGTGTAATTTGGATTCCAGTCTGGGATTCAAATCTCAGCTAATAAGTGGCAGAGCTGGGGTTTTTTTTTTTTTTAATCTTTTTATTTATTTTCTAAATTTAAACATAATTGCTTATACATATTTGTGAGGTACAGAGTTGAGTATCAATACCGGTATATAATATATGATGATCAAGTCAGGATAATTAGCACATTCATCATTACCAAACATAATCATTTCTTTGTGTTGAGGACATTTGATCTCCTCTCTTCTAGTCATTTGATAACATGCAGTAAATTATTGTTAATTATAGGTGCCTAGCTCAACTGTACATCAGTAGAACTTATTTTTCCTAACAGAGCTGGGATTTTAAACAGATGTGAATGTAAAGCCTTTGCTCTTTCTATTTCACTGGCTTGTCTTTCTCTAAAGCAGTGTGGTAAGGGCTGTGAGCAGAACGTACACAGTGCTGTCTGTGGAAGCATAGAGGAGGAAGTGATTAATAATCAACAATAACTAACATTTATATAATGTTCACTCTATGCCAGGGACTGCTATAAACTAACTAATTAACAATTTTACAACAATCTTGGCTGGTTAGCTCAGTTGGTTAGAGCACAGTATTGTAATACCAAGGTCAAAGGTTGGATCCCCTTACCAGCCAGCTGCCCAAAAAAAAACCCCAATAACAACCCTATGGGGTGTGTACTATAATTATGCCTATTTTACAGATGAGAACATTGAGGCTCAGAGTGGTTGAATAAGTTGCCGAAGTTCACATGGCTAGTGACTGATGGAACTAGAAGTTGAACTCAGGCAGTCTAGCTGCAAGTCTAAATTCTTAATGACAATACTATAGTTTACTGGAAAAGTTATAAAAGGCTTCACAGAGAAGAAAAATAGATTATTCTAACAACTTTGGAAATGAGGCCCAGGAAGACTCAATGAATTTTCCCAGATCATATTGTAGCAGATGATGTAGTCAGAACTATGTCTTCTTTTTTTTTTTTTGTCTTTTTCCGTGTCCGGCAACGGATCGCAACCCTCAGTGTCGCCCCCGTACTGGACCGGGACCGGCAACGGGATCGCAGCCCTCGGTGTTGCTCCCGCGCCTCGCTCAGCCAGTGAGCGGGAACCGGTCTGTATGTGGGATCCGAACCCTTGGCGGGAGCGCCGCCGCACTTCCCAAGCGGCGCACTATAGCAGTGCGCCACCGGGCCGGCCCAGAACTATGTCTTCTGAGGGACAAGTCCATGCAAGATTTTACACCTGCCTGTCAGGCCTCAGCTAACTGCTTTCTCAGGTCACTAAGTGCTTATATTCCTAGTCTGCTTTCCTTCCTTTTTCAAGTGTGCACCACCAGGCATTTCAAAACATCCCCATACAGAAAACCTTCTGTCCCTTTATAGAAACCAGGCCTCAGCTAACTGCTTTCTCAGGTCACTAAGTGCTTATATTCCCAGTCTGCTTTCCTTCCTTTTTCAATTGTGCACCACCAGGCATTTCAAAACATCCCCATACAGAAAACCTTCTGTCCCTTTATAGAAACTTGAGAGGGAACCAGCAATGGTGATTTGCTAAGGAAAACTTCTTTGGGAGATGAACATAAATCAAGCCTGGAGTTCTGAACCCTGGCGGTCAGCCCATCCTCACCCTCTGAACCTATCAAGTAACTGTTCCAGATGCCAAGAAAAGCTGCTGGCCCTATTTCTGCTTCTGCCTTCACCCTAGGGGAGCTCTGTGTGAGCCAGCCATTTGTTTTTACTCTAGTGCATGCAAGGCAGAATTAGCACCAGATTCTTCCCTCCTTCAAAGGAAATTCCAGTGCTTTGGGTTTTTCCTCCATTCAGAGTAGCAATGATGGAAAGTGCCTAGTCAAAGTAATGACATTCTGAATATAACAGATATCATCATTGTATTTTCCTCCGGAAGAGAAATGTATTGTAGAGGTGAAACTTCAAATTTCTTATCTCATAACTAGACATCCTCATCAGTGAGTGTCAGCCTGGATGTAAGAATTCCTAATCTTTTGTACTTTTCATGGTAGCATTTGGCTCCTACTGGCTGCCTGGGAGGTAATTTTAGCATTATGAGCATCTAGGTCCTGTCAACAGGTTGAGGGAGCAGTTTATTCATACAGATAGTGAGAGTGGCATAGATGGAGGTGATCACTTAAAACAGAAGCAGACTTCTCCTGATAGCCTTTCTCCTCTGGCTGTAGTTAAAGGTTCTGTCTGTGTGTTTGTCTCTGTGCGTATGTGTGTGTGTGCGTGCAGAGAGAGGGCAGCCATTTCCTAAAAGGCCATTTTTGTGTTTTTACCTTTCTGGTTTTTCTCTATCCTAGTCTCTTTTTAGTGGAATGAGAAGGTAGGAAGATGGTCAAGAGAATGTGAGTTACCCAAAGTTATGTATAAAAATATATCTATTCTACTGACACAAATTTAGGTTTCTTTGAAATGATACCCCAGTCTTTCTCGAAGAACCCGTGCCAGTGTATGTATGAGAATTTGCACTGTGCAACGCAGTTGCCACCAGCCACATGGGACTGTTAAAATTTAAATTTTAAAAAATTTAAATATGAAGTTTAGTTTTTCACTCACCCTAACCACATTTCAAGTGCTCAACTACATGTGACTCATGCCTACCTTATTAGTGCATACAAAGAACATTTTCATTATCACAGAAAGTTCTTTTGGACAGCTCTGCTGAGCACTGTAAGTGGAAGAGGTCCCTAGAAGGTGCAATGTGATTTCTGTCTTCAGGAACCCAGGCAGTCAGACCAGCTCGATAAAGAGAGGTAGAACCAGCCTTCACTTCTAGGTTAAAAATTGCTTATGTTGCCTGAAGATGCAATGGCCATTCTCATAGCAGTGTGAAGGAAGGAACAGATGTTTGGGGACCAGAAGAAAGAGGAGAAAAGGAGCATGTATACATAAAATAAGCATAGATTTCTCTGCTGATTGGGTCATGGTTAGTATTGATGCACCAAGTCTGGATAAACATCAAACTTCAGCCAATTGCTTTGGATTTAATGCCATCCAAGCCTTTTATTAAACATAAAGAAGGACCAGTTTTTCTTTTCCCTCATATCTGTAACAAGAAGTGAAATCACCTGCAAAGGTCATCAGGAAGGAGCCTGGGCCTGATTGGTGACAAGGTGGGATGATCAGCCCTTGAATGACAAAGAATGACTGTATGGTGTAGATCAATTACATATGTACTTCAAAAAAATCTTCTGAAATCCATCAGTATTCTGGACATTGGACTGATTGTCTCTGGGAAGTGGTAGCAATAATTGTCAGGAAGTAAAAGAAAAAGAAAAGTTCTGCCTTTTTGAAAAACTCTCTTTTTTATAAAAGCCTGTACTCATTTTATAACTAGTGTTTCTTTCTCTCCATCCCCCTGTCCCTCTCTCTCTTTCTCTCTTCCAGATCTTCAGGGGCCTAGAAATCTGTTGCTATGGGCCCTTTACCAACATGCCCACAGGTAAGGGTCTGAGAGAACTGCAGAGTTCCAGCACCAACCTTTCTCTTACATGATGGAATGTTATAGGCTAGATCACCTTCCTGGGGTTCCTCAGATTGGTGAGATGTTCTAGAGATTATTCTATTTCTCCACTACCCTCCAGACAAAATGGCACCTAAATGTTATCCTATAGCAAAAACCTAGACATTATGCCCCTTCTGAAGAGCACAAAGGTGGTGAAGAGTTAGGAGCTAGGGCATAGTATATTCTGTGCTCAGATGAGGGTTGAGCTGCTGTTTGGGCCCGTTGGACTAAGAAAGGAAGGGAATAATAAATCAGGGAGAAGAGACCTTTGGTTTTGTAAACATCAAGAAAGAATTCTGCTCTTCCTTAATCATCTTAATTCAGAGTAGAAAGCACAGCAGCTGCATAAGGCCTGTGGGTGTGAGGCCCCACACAGGCCCAGAGCAGGGGAAGACTCTTGATGAACATTTTCTGATTAAACTTGACAATGAGTGTGATGTTATATTTAGGACTGTTGTGGGGCTCAACCCTGGAGTTGTGTGGCATTGAACCATTGATGTGTGTATAGATTTGTTTTGTTCTTTTCAAAACAAAGGCTACTACACACTTCTGCCTCCTGTGCCCCACTTCTGCCCTAGGGACTTAAGTCCTCTTACTCAGAGAAAGCCCTTAGCATCTGGTCACCAGCAGATGAGTGGCAGCAAGAGAGACTGACAATGTAATTTTGCTCCCATCTTGTGTATTGGTTATTGATTGAATTTGTATGAAATTTCCAAGTACCACTCAAGGATTTCTCACTGTTTTTATACTTTAGTAAAGACCAAGGTATCTAGAGGTATCATTTTGGTGGTTAATCAACCTCACTTTGAACAGACAAACAGGAGCGCCTCAGCAATTCCCAGAAATAGGCTAATGGGAAAGAGCAATATACATGGATGCCTTGAAGAGCACATTCATAGTGGCCCAGAAGATCTCCATGGGTCAGTTTTGCTGATTTTCTTTTTCTTTTTCTTTTTTTTTTTTTCCTTTTTGTCTTTTTTCGTGACCGGCAACGGATCGCAACCCTCAGTGTCGCGCCCGTACCGGACCGGCAACGGGATCGCAACCCTTGGTGTTGCACCCGCACCTCGCTCAGCCAGTGAGCGGCCGGTCTGTATGTGGGATCCGAACCCTCGGCGGGAGCGCCGCCACACTCCCAAGCGGCGCACTGTAGCAGTGCGCCACCAGGCCGGCCCGAGTTTTGCTGATTTTCCAGGTGCAAATGGAACATCTCTATAATCTCTTCTGATTTCTCTTCCCCCAAGTATGTTGATTCCAGCTCAGCATGTATCCTTTCCCCACGGATATGCTTAGTTTCTGACCATGATGACGTGTATTTTTTTTGACTAGATGAATTATCTTCCTGTCTCTTGACATTTACAGTAGTTACCACCAAGTATAATGCTCTCAGTGGTTGTGATTATCATTTACCAACACAGAATTACGATGCAGCGAGGGAGGGAAGGAAGGTGGGTGGTTTTTTGTACAGTCTTAGCCAGCAATTTTGCAAATTAGTGGAAATTAGATCTTGAGTATTTTGTTTTTCTTTCAAAGTCTTTTATTTGAGAAACTATCAAGCCTTACTGCCAAGTGGCCTTATGGAGATTAATAGCAAGAGTAGATAGCAGATCAGTGGCAAATTGACTTAGAATCCATACTTCTAGTATGAATTCTAGTTTAAAGCCTTTCTGTTCTTTGGAGCAGAGAGATAGGGACTCCCACAGTCTTGCTGTAAGCCTTCATCCAGAGGAGTATGGGGTAGAGGGCCCAGGTTAAGTATACAGATTACTGTGGTGATTTTAGGTCTAAATATCCTGTTTAGATCAACTGGAGTGGTTGGTGCAGCTGTGTGGGGCTTCTGTAGTGAAGGAGTTTTCATCATTCACCTGTGGCACAGTAAGTATTTGGTACCCTGTCAGGGAGGGAGGACACAATATTCTCTCCTGTAACTGAGCAAGGATGGTACCAATCAGTCCCCATGGATCCCCCTACTGTAGCCTCGGGAGCGTTCTCTGACCACATTGAGAGAAGACTCCATCTGTAAGGGATGAGTAAGGACTTGGGAACTATAAGTATTTAATATACTGAGGGAAGGCTCTTCCCTTCTAACCATTTTTTTTTTTTTTCCTTTTTGTCTTTTTTCGTGTCCAGCAACGGATCGCAACCCTCAGTGTCGCGCCCGTACCGGACCAGGACCGGCAACGGGATCGCAACCCTCGGTGTTGCTCCCACACCTCGCTCAGCCAGTGAGCGGGAACCGGTCCGTATGTGGGATCCGAACCCTCGGCGGGAGCGCCACCACGCTCCCAAGCGGTGCACTGTAGCAGTGCGCCACTGGGCCGGCCCCCTTCTAACCATTTTTGCCATGTGCCTTTCCCCCTTCTTTCTGTGGCTGCCCCCAGAGTAGTCTGTTTCAACAATTTTCAAGAAATGGTGAAGTGACTGTTCCAAAAGTCCTATTCTGACACTCTCCATCCTCTTTCCTTCCTGGGGATGCAGGATGCTCACCCAATTGTGGTCGTGCAGCCAGACGCCTGGACAGAGGACAATGGCTTCCATGGTAAGGTGCCTGCATGCACTGTGTCACATGGAGTCCTGTTGGATAGGTTTGGTTCACCACTCATTACCTGGTGCTTGAGTAGCACAGTTCTTGGCACATTTTAAATATTTGTTGAATGAATGGCTAAGATGTCTTTTTAAAATTTTTGTCATTTGTTTTATATTTTAAAAATAGTGCATGACTATTTTCATTGGGGGGAGTTTAAATATGAATGTTCATTACAGAAAATATAAACCAGCACAGAAACAATAAAATAATCCAGGTAATCCCACCACTAGGAGATGATCATTATGAAATTCTACCAGGCTTGTGTGTATGTACTCGTATGTACACACGTGTATTTTACACAAATGTGATCCTACTTGTCATACTATTTTTGTATTTTCACTTAAGATATTGCAAACATTTTTCCACATCATTAAATTGCAATGCTCTTTTACTCTCTCTGGTGGCTTTCCCTTTAACAGATTGAAATTTATGTTAATACAGTTGCCAGAGGCTATGGGCTTTCACCAACAGTCCCTGCTCAGGCTTCTAAGTAACATCCTATGTCCTGAAGCATTGCTTGACGGGAACAATATGGCTCCTACCTGATTAACCCTAAGAACTCATACAACCAGGTCCCTGGAATAGATTAACTGGAATCTGGCCTGGGAGAATGTGAATTGACACTAATCTCTGTTTGTGTTCTCTGTCCCCAGCAATTGGACAGATGTGTGAGGCATCTGTGGTGACCCGAGAGTGGGTGCTGGACAGCGTAGCCCTCTATGAGTGCCAGGAGCTGGACACCTACCTGATACCCCAGATCCCCCACAGCTGCTGCTGATTACAGCCAGCCACATGTGTAGAGCCACAGGACCCCAAGATGAGCTTAAGAAGTGGTATTTCCACTCTAACTCTCAGTCCTTCCACAGTCCCAGTTACTAAATATTTTATGTACATTGGCCTGAAAAGAAGTTCTGGCTATGTAAGTGTCCCTTAAAATTTTTCTACTTCAAGTCTCCCTTTGAAATCTGCCATGTGCACAAAATTGTGATAATTTTCACCTGAGAAGAAGTTAAAACCATTTAAATCCCAGCAACTGAGCAAGGTCCTGATTCATTATTTATCAGCCCTATTCCTTGTATTAGGGCTATTGGCTTAGGACTGGAGGCAGAGTGGCTTCTCCTCAGGAGAAGAGCTGTTTCCCTAAGTTTGTTTCTCTAAAACCCTGTGTTCATAAAAGCCAAGAGTCAGGTCCTTCGATGGAAGGAGAGTACTGGGGATCTGTGATGTAATTTAAATGAGAACAGTCCTTGGGCAGCTCTCAAATGTTGGAGTGAAGCATTAGGGAGGAAATTCAGAGGAAGATAATGGAAATGAATATGAAAGTTGAGGGTTGATTAGAAGAGATCTTCAAAAGTCTGAGCTGTAGTTACTGGATTTCTAAAGAATGTGCTCTGAAACAGAATATTTTGAAGAACCAGTGTCAAAAGAGTCTTCTAATTCTCCATCAGTAATAAATAGAATGTTTATTATTGTACCTCTGGTATGTAACCTATTCCCCTTAAAATATAAGATCTCTGTTATGAATATTTCATGTCTGTAAAATGATGGATCCCACCAAGAATGGAACTATTGCTTTCTTTGAGGTAATTTTTTTCCTTTTGCTCCCTACTGCTGAACCATACAGCTTAATAAATAATTTTGCTTGCTGAAGGAAGAGAAAGTGTTTTTCTTAAACTCATTATCCAGGACTGTTTATAGCTCTTGGAAGGACTAGGTCTTCCCTAGCCCCCCAGTGTGTAAGGGCAATGCAGACTTGTGTCTGCAGATGTGTGCTGTTAACACTGCAAATATGAAAACACCAAGGTGAAGGGTTCAGATCCCCATGCCAGTCACCCCAAAAAAACAAAGATAGCAAACATTTCCAACAAGGGGCTGGCCTGTGGCTCACTCGGGAGAGTGTGGTGCTGATAACACCAGGTCAACAGTTAAGATCCCTTTACCGGTCATCTTCTAAAAAAAAATTTTTCCACCAAGAATGACTTCTTGAGATTAACACCTGCAGACTTTCTCAAAACCTTTTTGCTGTACTTTAGTCTCCTTGTCTATTAAAAAAAAAAAAACCATCTACCTCTTAGGGTTTTACCTTTTGTATTTTCTTTTTTTTTTTTTTTTTTTTTTTTTTTTTTTTTCTTTCTTTTAAAAGATGACCGGTAAGGGGATCTTAACC